AGGGGATAAGTTATTTAGGAATACGTAGGATGCTGAAGGCAAGGAAGAAGTTGTCCCAGCCCAGGGCTCCCTCAGACTATTTGGTTATTCCTGACCCTGAAAATAAAAACTGGAAGTAAAGGGGATAAGTTATTTAGGAATACGTAGGGTGCTGAAGGCAAGGAAGAAGCTGTCCCAGCCCAGGGCTCCCTCAGACTATCCATGTCAAGCCAGAAGCAGAAGTTTCCCTTTCTTGCTCCCATTACCTCCACAGTTGTTCATCTACACTCATCCTATGCAACGATCCGAATCAGAAAACCTGAGCGGCTGGGGGAAGGAAGAGAAGGTGGGGAATGACAACTCACACACCTCAGGAAGCAGAGTGCTTCCCTGTTGTCCGTTTACTACACATCCTCACGCTGACACAACGTGGGAGCGGGAGCCAGAGCAAGCGATGACTGCTACTTCAGCTGCCACCACCACTCGAGAAGTGCACCTGGAAATCACAGCCTCAGAGTCAAAACTGCTTCCTGGCAAGCCTGCACAGGGCGCGGAACAGATGAAAGTTCAAGGGTGTCATTTCAAAATACCCGTAACCAGTGCTACCACAAAAAGCAGCTGTCCCCCGTCTCTTCCACCTGACTGTTCATTCATACCCCCAGGTCACCTTCCTGCTCTTGCTTGCATAAATAGGGGTGTGGAAAGGAGAACAAATAGCAACTTTTTTTTTTTCCATACCAGATTAGTTTCAACTCGAATCAGCTCCCTGATCTGATTCACTGTCTGGCCATGCAAATGTTCGTGCCAGTATAAGCAAAAACATTGCAGGGACAGAACAAAAGGCCAGAGGTAGCAATAGAGCAGGGCCAATTATTTCGGAGATTGTATCAGCTTAAAAGTGTTTGCAAATCCAACCTCTAAGAGCATAAATGTTTGCATCTCAGCCACTTAATGCCTGATGTTGAAAACTCGGCAGAATTGGAAAAATGTGAAAGTGATGACTTTGCCTGTAGATATACAAAATAAAGTGGACCGATGGGTTTGTATTACTTTTTGGTATTGTCTTGAGTTCCTAACCGTGTTATTTAGCAAAATTGTTAAATGTTAGCAAATTAGACAGCTGAAATAGATGAACACATGAGTACATATATGCAGCAAAAGTGAACAGCACAAGCTATAAAATCTCTGAACTCTCCCAAACTACAGTAAGCAGGATCCTGCACGAAAGGAACTCCTCAGTGCCTGACTGCCAAATAATATCCCCTCAGTCATCCCTCTAACAAAGGGTGCTACTGAACCACAGGGTAAGCATTTAGGTTCTTATGGTATTAGCTACCCACATCATATGCATGTTCTGCCTTGCCAGATGGCCTGTAATCTGGTCTCCCTTGAAGCTGAAAGCATCACATTAAAACTCCTAATTGGGGTAATATATTCACAAAGTAATGACCTCAGTCAGTGTTTCTCAAAGTGGGTTACATCATCCAAAAGGATCATGAGAAAGCTCTGAGGCCATCAGTAGGAGCTAGGAAAAAAAAAACCAAACCTGTATTTGAAAAAAACTCAAAAATATGTAAAATTATAGAAAATGTGTGATAATAAAACCAAATTACACTTAAAATATTGACACCAAAAGCAAGTTCCTGAAGTCTGAGGGAGTGTTTACAATTGCAGACTGCTCACAGCAGCCAACTCTTACCCCTCTATGGAGGAGAAACTGAGTTTCCACTGGCAGTTAAGGAAAGTTGGCTTTTTTCAGGTTTGTATGGGAGAAGGGAAGGTAAATAATTTTTTAAGAATGTAACCTTTCATTATAGAAATTTGGTAGAAATTTTAGAGCTTTGCAAGCTGCAGTCTACTACTGCTTTCTTGAAATCAGTGTGAGTTTTGCCAATATCCACCTTCAAGAGGAGCAGAATAAGTCCCACACTGAACACTTATGGAAATTCCACCTTTAACATTTCCAACCTTCATTTTTTAACAGAAAAAGAGGGAATAACCATGAACAAGACCATCTGAATTTACAGTCTATTGCACTAAGGTCTAGCCTGCTGCTCAGTGTTTATTGGGTTTGTTTGAGAAATCTAACAAGATTGGCCAGTTTTACTACAACAGCTCCAAGTCCTGTGGGCAACCTGAAACTTCACAGTTGTATCAAATGTAGCTGTGTACAGAGGTACAGAATTGGAACAACACTAGAAAAAGAAATGAAAAAGAGGGCAGGTAATAGAGAAGCTGTTCAGGATAATTAATTATGGGATGCGAGAGAATCAATGGACCTTCCCTCAAACATTTTGCTGAAATAAATCCAGCCAGAAGACACTGAACATGAAACTCATTTAGTCACCTCTCCCTGCGTAATACAGGAGAACAGATTTCTTCCCAAGGCACTATCCCTCAAGCTGCCATTTATGGGTCCTGAAATCCCGCTTTATCCAACCTGTTTTTCAGGCATCTATTCATTTGATCCTCCTCCTAACTGTGGGTGCAGTTCTTCTTTGTCCAGTAAAAGAGAGCATTAACAAAATTATAATATATACAGCTGAAAGAGTAAAGCAGTCTTCCTTGTTCTAACGTATCCTCTGTCCTGACAGAATTTTAACAGTTCAAATCCAGAAAGCATATTCAACACATCTGAATTACTACACTGCTAATAAAGCAGTAAGCAGGTGCAAAAACTGCTTTCTAGAAAGGCTTCCCCCCTCCAATTATTAGTGGCCTCCATCCTAGAGATTTCAATAGCATCAAAACACATGCACCCCAGTCAGACGAAGTAGAAGTTATAATCTCTGCATTTGGCAAAAAAAAAAAAAAAAAAGACCTGCTTACAAGACACTTAGGCAGTTTACCTCCCAGAAGCTCAAGACTACTCTCACCAAAACACTGCACAAAATACAGTGTACAAAAATATACCACTTTACAAAATAAGAAATTTCACTGAAATTGCTACAAAGCGGCACATACATTACTGTAACAGAAACTAAATGCACTACTGAACAATGGTTGGAAACTACTTTAAGGATACCAAAGTTCACAACTGTGTCTTCCATCACAGGTATTAACATAATATAAAGAAACCTAGCTAATCACAGTTACTTGTCCCAGCCACAGAAAGACACGCGTACAGATAGATATACACAACTTTTCTCTATTAAGTGAACCATTAGCGTTGGCAGTCTATTAACAATTTTTGAGAGAATTCCAAGACAATGGTGTCCAAGGCCCAACATTTTACACGTGTGTGAAGCAGAATTCCAACTCACAAACAGCTTACAATGTTCGTGACTTCATTTTCAATGCACAGAAATAGCATTTAAACTCAAGGAAAATATTAAATCTCTTAAAAGGCTACAAAACTAAAAGGATGAGATTTTTCGAACTGATTAAAAATTTTGAGCAGGTATGGAGTAAGAGAGCACAGAGCATGATTATCAGAGCAGTTATCTGAAAGCACTTTCAAAATGCCCATAAATGTGGATTGCCTGCTCAAAATTTTATGGATTTAAGTTTTGTAGTTTGGGCCAAAGCAGAAGTTAAGGACAAGTTTCGTCTTATAATAGCATTTAGATTCAGAAGCAAATCCTTCTCTTTCTTCACCTTTTGAATTCAATCAGGTATGTCCCTATTTAACAGCACACATAAGATCAGAGGACTCTCATTGTTATTCCAATAAAGCAGGGCTATAAAACCCCAACTGAGGTCACTGGATGGGATTCAGTTCAAGATTAGGTGTCTACTGCAGGTGTTCAATAAGCACAGTAGATGTCTAATGTCTCATTCTAGTTAGAGCTTCAGTCCAACCCAGCCAAAGGAGCTTAAATCAGATCATGTCCAAAGCAGACACCCAACCTGGCAGCTACATCACACTTTACATTACATTGGCTGTGCTGACGAGATAGCTATTGACTCCGAAAGCAGCTTAAGACATCTCAGAGTTAATTCACTTGCCCATACATTTGAGATGCCATAGGATAACGAGCCTTGTCTCCATTTTTGTTCCAGAAGACCACTGGTCTCTGACTGGACATGCCGTATGTACTGACCTTGTGCAGTTGTCTCTGCTAACTTAAAGCATTTCAAATGGTCACAGACACCTTACTATTTTTTAAGTAAATACACAGCACTGCTAGCACAGATGCAGGCACCTATTCAGGTATCAAATGGAATCTCTTATGTTATTAAAAATAATTTCTGAGAAAATAGGAAAAGGTATAAATTATTATGGAGTAATGAACACATAAAAAGAAGATAGAAACACTTTCAGGAATATATTCATTTCAGTAAGTCTAACAAGCACTGTATTTCAAATTTTGCTATAGTTTTGTATGCTTTAGACATAATTCCCATGCAATTAAAAATATATGTAGAAACAGATGTAGTCATTTTGTATCAGTAGATTCTCTTGTAAGCCTTTTAAAGCCAATAATATTACACCAAAGGGCAATTTTTCCTCAGCATTTTGATTCCCCATCCCCTTTCCAATTACTACAAAATACAGCATTATTTATAGCCTGAAATGTATTCTACAACATTCTTAGAACTACAGAACGTTTGCCAGACCTCATACACAAGTTACAAATACCCACACACACTTCATACTACCTTACCTACAACAGTTCCTTTCAGTAGTTAGACTGAAGCCAGTTTTTCTTACTCCTATCAGACTATCTCTGCCAGTGTGCATTGCTGAATATTTATTAGCCACCAAACATCATACACTTTACAGATACCAACAGATGTAAACCATCTTTACTTACTAGACATTACATGGACTTCTTCCAAAGCAAAAGATGAAGAGTCATATGAATAATGCTGAGTCAATTATAATACATCTGCAATCATCCCCAACAAACTCATGTACACAAATGGGATAATTTACCTACTGAAAATCAGAAACTGTTACTTTACTTCTCACAAGAAATCTTTCCCTCCTCCCAGTCATGCTTTAAAAGCCTCTGAGGAAAGTCTAATCATGGTGAGTCTTCTTATATAATCAACATGGCAAATTGAAAAATACTTACGGTTGATGTGATCGATATAGTATACACCAATCTGAGGATCGTATGCGGCTTCCCATCCCCATGGCAGTTCATCCCCAACACAATCCGCAAATGACAAGGGCTTTGTTAACCTAAAACCAATAAACAATTAATGGTACAGTTTTTTTCTCTTCCATACGTATGTTTGTTATTCGTATTAATTCCTCTTATGACAGAAGCTAAAGAAAGATAGCGGGCAGAATGGAGAGCAAGTTGTTTTCTCGATCAAAGTTTAGGGTTTGATTTTTTTTCCCCCCCCATATTCCATCATTCTGAATTCATTAATTCCAAGAACATCATATAAGTTATTACAAACATTTTTCAGTACAGGCACTCAAGTGAGAAATTCACTGCAACATCTTTCACATTTGACAGTTTAAAATTAAACAATAACCAACAGCTTGTGAAAAAAGCATAATCTACATTCCTATTTGTCCCCAGAAGAACTGGACCCTTCAACCTTGAGTCTGCAATGAGAGCACAAGATTTCAAGGTCATCTTCTCTAATGACCACAGACAGGAAACTCAGAAACGAGAATACAATCATCTAAGATGTAGTTAGCAGCATTTAGCAATCCGCATATTTGAATAAAATAAGCAGCAGTGTGGAGAAGAAGTGCATAGAGTAGACATTTAATAAGTAACATTTAATGAGCCTTCAGATGTCCACATGGTACCTTTATAGGAAGACAGACAAGTAAAGTTTTTAATTTTAATCATGAAGCAACAATTTTTTACAAGAAATAGATTGATAACAATAATGCCTGAGCTCTTTTTCAACTGAGGCTGAGCAAAGCTTTACATCATATTTTTGCCTTTTTTTTTTTTTTAAAGAAATGAGTATTGAGTTTCCTGTTGATAAACCCACAGAAAAGTGCCATGTCTGATATAGTGATATATTTAATAGGAAAAACAAGAGATTTAAGGTTAGTGACAATACAACTAGTACATATCCAGAGTTTAAAAAAAATAATCCTCAGAGTAAGATTATCAACAGCAGTTTGTAGGACACATGAGCATCACCTCCTTTGCTCACTGTGGCCGATCACCTAAGACTGTTTTTTCATCTCATTAAAATTCTATACAAATAAAAAGCTAACAATCTAACTCACATATCCCTTTTTGTGTTTCAGTTATTTTTTTCTTCAGTTAGTTTCTAACCAAAAGAAACTGGTTTATTAACATTTTTGTGAGGAATTAAAGAAAATAGTAGTACATTTTACTTTCTACAAAATGAATGCGCTTTTTTTGTGTAGAAACCACTACATAGAAAATACCTTAGAAAACTATTGAATTAATTTTTTCTTACAGCTGAGACAACAGAAATTTGAGCACAGGTTTGATTTAGAAATCCTTGTCCCATAAATATATTATTATTATTGATGTATCTGAACTATCAATTCTTTAAGCAGAGCAACACTTTATTCCTCCAAACTAGGGTTGCAGAAATTACAAAGAACCAAGCTCTTACAATCCAAAAATCTCTGCATAATGTGGACAGATTTATTTTTTTAAATCATAAGCATGAATCCACTTCTTCATATTTCTCCAAAGTTTACAACATAATCCTATGAAGGTTATTAATGGTTAATTTTGAGGTCCTGAACAAATTCACAAATAAGGCAAGTTCGTTAATTTGTTGTCACTTACGAACTGCTATGCAAAACCACTAAACACTCTGAGAACTATTACAAAATGCAGGTGAGATTACCAATGTGGAATTACATCTGGATCACTAGGATATAAGATACGGATTGATTAGAAGCAGCACAAGCCACTTGTGAGAAAAGTTCTGTTTACTGGGAGAGATTCTCCAAGTCTGGCCAGCCACAGGCTTCTCATTTGAGTGAGAAGGTGTAGCTTCTGCAGTACCTGTTTTCCTTCTCAACCTTAACCCACTACATACTGCCTCACAGTCCAGGAGCTCCTTTTCTAAAGGAAATCTTAAAAGGACATGACCCATACTCCTCATTACAATGCAGGAGAGGACATCCCACTGAAGCCGACTGCGGTAAACTCCCCAGCCATCGAGCAGGTCTGTAGTAAGCCAAGCCTACCTGTTGTATCCTCTCCCACCGCTGACATACGTGTTTAAATCCAGACACGGCACTGCTCTGAGTGAGGCTGCTCCAAGAAGGAGCTCTCCAGAAACCCCAGCTCAGACCTGCCACTCTGCTCCTCAGCCTCCTCCTCCTCTCCGGGCAGCAGAAGCTGTGCCAGGATGGCAGCTACACAGCTCAGAAGGATAACAGCTGTCCTGCGAAGCTAGCGCTGCCATATCAAATACAGCTGCCCAAATGCTATCTCTTAATCATTACCAGCATCACTTCAAAGATTACTGCTTTATTTGCAAATACTAACAGCTAGACGGAGAGATGGCTCTTAGGAAAGCAGGAGGAGCCGTTTGAAGCCAGGAGAAGGCACACAATCACAGCTTCAGCCAGCTGCCCACAGCACGCAGTGGACTGAACACAGGGTGCCCGTGTCAGAGAGTTCCCAGGCCGCTACTGCTCGGAGGAAGCATCAATCATGTAAAAGCCACAGCTCTTTGGCGAGTTTGGATAGTCATGTGAACCTGTGCCAACTACTAGGGAGCATCCTGCTGTGAAGAATGTCCCGCCTCAAATTAGATCACAAACATGGGTTTTCATAAAAACATTTCTTAAATGGAATAAAAATCAAAGTTCAATGTCATCCTTAGCCTTAATTTATGATAATAACTCAAAACACAAGTCTTGTAGTTCAAGTAGTAAAAATATTTAAAATACCGCATAGCGGAGTAGGAATCATAACAAACTAGTATAAACATGCCCAGATGGTGTCTAATAAATTCATGTAGAACTCTGCATTAAGTGTCCAACACTTTCACCAAAGATACACACCACAGTTAGCGACAATCACCAGATGTGACTTTTAAACCACCTCTGCAGGAAAGCTATAAACCCAGTACTATCCTGGCTTTTCATCTGCACTCCACACCAATTTTATTTTTAATCAAATACTGCCTTCTTACTATTATAGCTCATTCTGCAGGTTAGACCGCAGACCACTCTGGCCATGTGGATGTTCTGTGCAGGTGTTATCACCTGTCAGAAATTGGACACTGTGAGAATGAAGAGCAGCTGCTCTCTCATCCCAAACACCCCATAAATTAAAGTGACACTAAAAAACTGTGGAAAACTACTTGAGTGACCCACTCTGGACCTTAAACAAAAGAAGAAGCGGGAGACAGAAGTCCCAAAATACAGGCAGTACTGGACAAATACTGCTCTGATGGATCATGCTTGGACATTGAAGCCTTAAGATCTGAACTATGTCAGGAGAACTGCTCCTGAGTAGATTTTTAAAACATGAAAAGGTTTGTACATAACAAGATCACAATTTCTTAAGTGGTACATCCCCAGGACTCTTTTTTTTTTTGTTCCAGAGTCTTTTAATAGCACAAGATTTTTGAGGCCGACACAGACTTTTACAACTGAGCAGCAATCAGCACAAGGTGATGTTAGACTGCTTTGGGCCCTCCGAACTGTCCAAACATAAACAATATTTACTTTCGAAATACGTATGGCAAATAGATAAGATTAACATGACATGAAGAGATGTAAAATGCAAGAGAAAATGTGCAAGACAAAAGTTGAAAGCAAAGAGAGTTACGAGATGTAATTGGAAAGGAAATAGTACCTAGGAGCAAGGACTGAAGGAAACACGCCTGTGCAAAGATCATTATCTGTGACATAATAACCTATGATGGACGGACTGCCATTGCATTCATTAACTGTGACCCAAGAAAAATGAGGTTTATTGCACCATACTAGAGGATTAAGTGCTGTGTCTCAGGGCACTGGTATTCTGAGGTAGTTTATAATACTTTTTCAGGCTGTAGTCATCAATTTACATGTCCTTAAAAAGAATGCTGATACTCTAAAAAGGATGACTTAAAGTCCACATTTAGCATACCATGAAGTTTAATTACTTAACAAAAGGCGGGGTTTTTTTAAATACATATCACTAAGCTCAAGTATTCTCACCTATGGGCACTCTTCTTTTTTAACCTTATAGAACTCCTTCCGAGTGAAGACTAATTTATTAGCCTTTAGCTCGTATATAACATTTTTATCTACTCAACCCTCTCTGGCTGCAACACCCCCATTTCAGCATATGGACCGAAGCATACTCTCCAGACCAAGAGAACAAGAAACGGGTGTGTGTAATGAGAATTGGCTACTCTTAAGAAAGCCAGGAAGCATTCTGCAATTCCATTATGTAAACAGTATGTAATTATGTAATTGCCAATCACTTCACAGATGCCCTGGGAAACCCAGGGGACAAATACAGCTTACAAATTGAGAAGCTGTATTACTACCTCAAATCCACATTTTGATATTTTGAAAACTTTAAAGAAAGTTAGCTAAGACCTTAAAATGTAGATTCTACAATGATATATGTGTTATCATTAAGAGTTGCAATTTAATCTGCAGCCACACCTTTAAGAAGTCTGTATATGCATCTGAAGTTAATAAAGAGGCTGATGATATTGTAAAATGGAACAGTAAGTACAGACTGATGGATTGTCAGTGCAATATTGTTCCATTTGAACAACTTTCTTACTATTTGCATCAATTTTGTAAGACTGATTTATTGTGATTTATAACATGTGGTGGAGGGTGTGGGGAAGAAAGAAAGGTTACAGTAGGCAGGTCTCAGAAAACT